TTTTTTTTTTAATTTTATTTAGAAAATGTATAAAATATATTTTTTTAAATTTTTTGTGAGTATCCGTGATACTCGTAGGTTTTAAAATACTTGCGGGTATTTTTTAAGCGGGTAGCCGTGTAGGTAATGGATGGATTGCGGGTCGAATTTTATTTTACAGATCAAGTTGCAGGTAGATATTATTCGTGTCTACCCGACCTATTGTTATCCGTAATGTTAAGTGAGGATCATATCACGTGATATAGTATTTGTTGTAACAAATGTTATATAAAAAATCTTAATTTATTTTTATATTTATTATTTTGATTTTTAATATTTCTTTTTAAAATGAAACAATTGCATTCTTTTCTCCAAATTGAAACGATTTTTTTTATACATTTTATATTACTACTTTTATTAAAATTGATATTTTTATTAAATATTTTTAACAATATTATATTTATTTAAATTTATATTTTACATTAAATTTTATTTAAATTTTGTTTTAAAATTTTAAACGTATTTTTGTTGATATTTTTTTATTTTAATTTATATTTAAAATAATTTTATTTAAATTTATATAGTTTATAAATTTATATTTCAAATATTTATATAACATTATATATCAGTAATTTATATACGAATGTTAGAATTATTTTGAAAACAACAATTTTATAAATTCAACTGTAAAATTTTAAAATAATCTTATAACAATTTAAATAAATATATTTAAAACTTTAAAACAAAATTTACTATAAAATATAAATTTAAACAAGCTTAACAATATTAATAAAAATATTAACTTTAATAAAAATATTGTTATAATTGAAATATTTTACATAACTCAATAACAACACCTAACACTATCACTATGATTATCACTATGACGTCATAACAAGACTCTCACTTAATTTAAAAAAATAAAAGAAATTGAAAAAATAATTAAAATTAAAAAAAAAATCACAAATTAACACATGTTAAATGATTGGTTCAATACTAACTAAAATACATTATATTTTAAAAAGTAAGAATCCAATTAAAAAAAATCAAAATATGAAAATTTACTTAATATTTTTAAACAAATATGTTAATCAACAAAGTATTTTAACCTATCTAAAAATATAACATTTTTTAAATAACTATAAAATTCATATACATTTATAGTCTTCATATTTAAGAAGAACGATGTGATTAAATCTTTTAACAAGGACTAAAAATAGATAGTATATTTGTAGAAAGTAAAATAAAAAAAACATTATATTTTAATTAAATAAAATTATACTTAAATATTGAATTTAATTAGAAGGTACTCAACTTCAATCATAGATTAATAAACATAGTGAACTTTTTTTCTTAATAATTACTTTAAAAGTCACACTTAAGGAATTATATTATCAGCGCATGGAAATTCAATTCTTAAACTTTTTCTATTATTATTTACATTTTTTTTAAAATGAAATATGGAATGTTTGTATGAAACACAAAAAATTCAGCATGCTCAAAATAGGTTGAAATTACCTTTGTTGTTTAAAAATCAAATGAATGTTTCCAAACTCTTCTTATTGATATTACTTATTCATTTCTTACATTCATATCCCATACTTCTACATCAATTATTGTGATTTTATTCCAACAAGAGAATGCTAACCCATGTCCTAAGCCACTTGTTAAGGAATCAAAATGGACTCTTTTTAGAGATAAATATAAAACTTACCAATATATCCCATCATGATTCACAATAAAAACATTGTATTTATTGATTCCCTAACTAGTACCTTATAAGACACAAATTTCAGTATCTGCTTTGGCATTAAGGAGGAAGGCTTGTTACATTTCTCCTGGGAGCATGGTATCACCAGGTAGATCACAAACAGCAATTCCCTAAGATGACAGAGTTTATAAGTTTCACATGAATATAAGCATAAATAACTAATAATATTAAGATATGATGTTTACCTCGCCCGTTAGGTGAGCCACACATCTCTTCTCAGCCAACAACTCAGCTTCAGTCTGCAAAATATTAAGAATTTAAGTTTGAGTCTGAATCTTACGTTAAGTAGAAATGAGATATATAATAAGAAAGAAGACTTATAAACTCATAGTATCAAATTTGTTATACAGATTTGCTCATGACTTATCAATACCGAACCTCTTTAGTATATATCTCTTTAAAAGACCTAACAATGATATCATAACCAATGGTTTACCTAATATCATTAAATTTTGATAACATGTCTAATTTTAAAATGGTAACTAATTTCACCCTCAAACATGAGCTCCCTGATAGCTTGCAATTAATTAAAAAATCTAGCATGTGTTCAATCCATATTTTCACTGCATTTTTTTAGCTTTTATGAGAAGTTTATATCATTTAAAGAACTTAATTTCTTATTTTATCTCAACATTCTAATAAATATGGCTAAGGCACACATGAATAAAAGATAATCTGTATATATATATACATACATACATATATATATATATATATATATATATAATGTATGAATTTCCATCCTTACCTTTTTTATCCGCTGCCGGAGGTAGTCATCAAATATGACATCCTTCACAAGTTCGTAATCACCATCGCCCTAATGGATAAAAGCTTTCATCATAGGAGGAACAAAGCAAGTTTCAGAAGTTAAAAAGAATGAAAAGAATGCAGTAAACAAGCTTACCTTTGATCGACATGGCATACTGAAAACAATACCCTCAGCTATTCCATAAGGATTTCCATTGCTATATACCTGGCATTACAATTGCAAAATTTGAGATTGAAATACTAACTAAGAATAAAAAGAGAACAAATGATTAATGAAGGTTGTGGCATGTTTAAATTTGTAAGAAAAGAATTGGTTTTTGGCCCTTCAATTAAGTTTTGAAATGGCATATTCCAGAGATGTAAGCTAATTTTATTTTCACCACACCAGAACATGAGGTCATTCAGTGATATCAACTTACACCAGAAGAAAACCAATCACCCTCAGGAGTAGGAGTTACTAAAGATCGGATGGCATCAACAATTGATACAGAAGTTGATGCTGCCGATGATCTTCCCCATTTTTGAATAAGTGCACCACCTCTCTACCAATCACACAATCACTTGTCAGCTTTTAGCACAATGAAACTACATATCTTTTATATCATGTGTTTAGCTATTAATGCTACTCACAAAATATTACATTACCTTTTGAACCTTTTCAGTGAACTCTTCCTCCAACCACCTATGATCCTTAACCACCTCTTTGACTGGCAAACCATCAATTTTAGCATTTAAGAAGTCGGGGACCTATTAATATGATAACAGGTAAACCGTGTCATAAAAGATAGTTACAGAAATCCAGTTCATGCTCATTATTCTGGTAATGATCCTTCAATGACCTGAGTAGTTGAGTGGTTTCCCCATATTGTCACATTTGACACTTTATCATAGAAGACACCTGCCTTGAGGGCTAGCTGTGAATTTTATTGATACAATACACAGAAGATAGATGTTAGTTTTCTATGGTAAAAAAAAAAACTTTAAGATGAAATCTATAAACTTTGTTACCTGACATTTTGCTCTGTTCTCGTCTAAGCGAGTCAAAGCATGGAAATTTTTTGCAGGAATGTTAGGAGCATTCTTCAAGCATATTAATGCACTGCATTAAAATTCAGATGAACATTAACATAAACAGACACAACTTGGAACTTCATGTTTATGCATAGAAAGCGAAGCTTACTTTGTATTGCAAGGGTTTCCCACTACTATAACTTTGACATTGCGGGAGGCCACGGCATTTAGTGCTCTTCCCTGTTGTAATAACGTATAATGTCAGTATAACTAAATGCAGTTTAGCAGAAAGTAAGAAGTGTGGTTTTAATTTGAACACCATTTTACCTGCGCTGCATATATCTGTCCATTTATGTCTAACAAGTCTGCTCGCTCCATTCCAGGTCCTCGAGGCTTTGCACCTATTAGCAGAGCCCATTCTGCATCTTGGAACACTTCATAAGGATCAATACCAATACTCACCTCCCTTAACAAAGGAAACAAAGAGTCCTCCAGTTCCATTGCAACACCTGCAAGTTGAATTAGAACATTAAGAATGAAAAACATCAGTCTGTGTTATAATACTCAAGATTAAGGTGTATCTTGTTTCATTTAAAAGCATAACAGAAACAATACATTAGCTACTCTGACCTGACAAGTCAAATTCAAGTGAAGTTATACTAAAATTCCTATTATTGGTTGAGTTTCTCATATCTCTCAGTAGCAGATGCTAATAAGACCTTAGGTCTTCTTAAATGGGAAGAACCATTGGAGGGCAGTAGAGTAAGAAAGAGAAGTTTGACGCTAAGCTGAAAGTTTTGTTGACAGGAAAATAAATTGATGTGACAGAGGCTGAACCACTCACTCTCCCTTTTTTTCAGTAAAAGCAGGCATGCAAATGCATCACTACACAAGAATACAATCCTTCCCCAAATCTGTGAATAGGCAGCAGCAGTGTATTTATTAAAAATTGTTGGATGACTATTTTATTCCTTCTTATGTATGTTGAAAATTTGAAATGTAAATCAAAAAACCACTTTTGACATTTAAAAGTTCAACCTAAACCACAGAAACTTGCTTCCACACCTTGCCTGCTCCATAATTTTACAACCTTTTTATTCCCCAGACATTCATTGAAAGATAGAAAGAAAGACCGAAAGATCACAGAACTAGAAGTACTCATAACATAAATGACAGTAAAACTCTCTGTGCACGTAACTTCAGTGGAAAAGGTTTTTAATGTACAGGCTATGTTATTTTTTTTTTCCTTAGAATTGTATACCTTATGATAAAGGTGTTCACTGGGTAAGTTGAATTTGCTGATTGATGCTTTGCCTTTATTTATCTCTTTTCATAACATACTGATGCACCATTCACAATTCTCCAATTTTCGTATTCTTGCTTTATTCATGGGCCAGATAGTTTCATATTAATGTCTAGTAAGGAAGAGTTTCTACAGCTTTGCAACACTGATGCACCATTCACCTTTAGTTAGTTTTCTACAGTTTTTTATAGCCACAAAAGAGTCGGAATGGATAAGGATGGGTCAGTTTTTCCTATTATAGGTGGAAGATGTACAACTAATAACAGATAGATACCAAGTTTATATACCAAGGTTACCAAAAACCGATGTCATATTTACCATATGCAGAAAGCTAACCTTCAAGAGCTTGGATTGACCGTTCTGATCCCAGTAACTTGAGAGCAACAGGTTGATCAGGACCAAAAACTTCACCAGATGCAATCTGACACAATAAATCAACTCAGGCTCTAGAGTCCAACACTATTGTGTGATCATTCAAGGTAGGTCTTATGTAAAATTCTCATAGCACATGCAAAACAAAATTATGTCGAGCACTCACCTTACATTCAATTTTGCTTTCATGATAAATTCAGTTTCTATTTCATGAAACAACAAAGATACAAGAATGCGGTGATTCCAATAAATCTTCAAACTATAAAGCTCAAATTTTGTATATAGTAGTGGCTTTCGATTTGTTTAGAGAAGAGATGACAGTATCAAGAGTAAACTAATTCCAACTCAAAGTGTTGCACACATATGGTCAACAATACAAAGTAATGTTGATTCCATGTATTGTGGTCCATCACAATAAATTCATCAATCAATGAAAAGCAAAAAAAAATCCAGTTTTGAAATGGCTACAGAACAACTTATTCAGCAACATCAAACAGATCAGAAATTATGATATGCATCTATTATCATTTCAATGACTTTAAAGATCCTAATCTCAGAGTAATGATACAACAGCAACGACAAAACTTTAGCCCACTGGTAACATTGACTACCCAAATTTCAATCAGAGAGTACTGATATGGTAAAAACATTATTGCAAATAGATAAAATTAAAAAAAATGATAAGTTGAACATCTGATGTGCTTCGTTGACACAATTCTTATTTAAATCCAAGATATACTCACTTTGAAAAGTAGATGATTTGCAATCATTCCAGCAGCACCTGACACTGCAATGTTAATTAATTTCTTCCAGGATCTTGTCTCTTCTTCCTGCAAAAATATTGGTCAAATATTTTAACGACACATACAGCTCAGATTAACAAATTTAACTGTAATAACTTAAAAGAGACATTAGTTTCATATGCACACATATTTATCCTCTACCCTCTTTCAAACATCTCATAATAAATAACATCAATACATTAATTGTTCATGTTGAGTATATTTCTTTACTGAAATTAGATTGTAAATTAAATTGAACATAAAAATTAAAAATTGGAAAGAGAAAAGAGATTTACAAAACAAAGCATACTCTGCAATGTAGACAATGATTAAATTCTACATTTTGACAGATCGGCCTAGCACAGTTTTGGTATGGAAGATAACTAATAATGTTACCGATGCCTTTTGGCTGTGTATTGGTGTTTAAACAGTTATATATAGACCAAACTTAACAAAATAAAAGGAATCAAAACAAGAACAGTCAAATACAGAGCTACACCAATCTAGTTCTATGTATATAAACCTAAATAAATACAGCGAAGGAAATTATGCATCAACATGCACATATTGACTGACACCAGTACTGATACATCTAACAAATTTCTGCTCCAAAGTAACAAACAAACCTCTCAGAAAACTGCATAAATCAATCTGTAGTGAGGAACTCACCCACTAAGAATCGTGGACAACACAAAACATGCTATTTGATTAAGACAGGCTAAAACTAACAAATACACATGGTTGAAATACAGAAGAGAGGGGAAGGGACACTCACGGCCCTCAAATCATAGGTAAGGCAGAAGA